CTCGAGAGATTACTCTTTATTGCACCACCAGGAAAGGTTTCTGTCTTTTCTCTGGATTCTCCACATTTTCTTTCAGAGATGAACATGCTTAAGAAACTTAATTTTTGCACTATAACACATTTTTACACTATATTTAAGACACTACTGTCCCTCTGCATAGATTTACTTAAAAACTAAACAAAAAGATCATTGACCAGCATTACAGTGAACATTTTATTTTTAAAAAGCCCGCACTTAGTAAATTTAAAAAGAGGCAGCTATTTATTCCAGAAGACCTAGCTTTTCATAATAGCCCTCCCTGCGTTAACGTTACCACGGATTAGCGAGAAATGCAAGACTACACTAAGCGAGGACACACCCACAGGCCCAATCTAGAGTCCGTCATCCCTGACGAATCTTCTAGTTTCCATAGAGCACGAGCCCTTCTTGCACCAATCCGCGGGGGAGAGCATCCAAGGATCAGCCAATGGCGTTTTGGCTGGAGGCGAACGTCCTTTATAAAATGAGCCGGTGCGGCACGTGCGCTTTAGTCGTTGGGCCGCTTTTGTGGCGGCTTGGGGTTAGAACGTTGTAGTTAAGGTTATTTCTGTAGGGGTTTCCCCCCCTCCTGCTGGATTTCGAGGTTTTCCCTTTTGCTGCCGTTGTGTGTTAACCACGGGGGGAAGCGAGAGAGGACGCTTCAGTTGTACAGGAAGTTCAAATAGACTGTATGATTATCGAGTTTGTAAACGACTTGCATCAGAAAGAAAACGCATCACGAATTTTAGTAAGCTTTTTCCGGAAGGTAATATTGGTAAAATCAAATTGCTTCCCTTCAGTATGGTGTAGGCATATCGTAGTTCGCCGTATCTCAAAAGCGTTAATCTTTTGCTGTGCGCAGCGCAAATGATCTTTTAGTATTTATGGATCATCTCTGTTTCTCAGATGTGTAAATTTTCGAGAAAACTAGCTAACAATGTTATGTTAAAGGCATCGCCAGCATTTTCTATCGCTTTATTTAAAAGGAAGAAGGTGGCAAAGGGGGAAGAGTACATGGAACTAAGTCAGCCATGTTGAGATTTGGGGGAAAATTTTACCTTTTAGTTACTTTTGAGAGCACCTTAAGTTGCTACGTGAAGGCCTTGAGTATAGTGCAAAGACAAATGGACACACACAAAAAAAGGCCTACTGTTACAGTGCCTTTTCTTTCTAAGCCTTAGAAGATGAAATCACAGCCTGACTTAGTTGTGCTTACAGGGGGGCTTTAAATTTTGGGGCTTGATTTTCTACTTGAATGGAGCATATTAGAGATCTCAAACACATAACTTTACTGATGTCAGAGAATATATGACCAAGAAATAATGAAAGCAAGGATAACATGTTTTAAAACCAGTTAATTAGAGCAGTGAGATTTGGATCACACTGCTCTAAGTGGTTTTAAAATGTGCACTAACAGGAAATATGCTGAAAATGTAGCTGTAATCCATAATACCATTGGATGACATTGATTATGTAGAAAATTATAATAAATTCTAGTAGGGAGTATCTCTGGTATGATATTGAATATAAAATCTTAAGTACTATACTCACAAGTGTGATATAGTTGACCCCTTTTAAATTGCATGTGTGGGAATACTAGAAGTTGATTGATGGTGGCAAAGTTCCAGAGTTGCATGCCTTAATGCCATGCATCTTTCCTTGATGACCTCCAGACCTCCTTAAATCCAGTGGTCTTGCTGGTTAGGGAGGTGAGATGTAATCCAAGATACCTGGAGGATGCCAACTTGAATAAATCTGCATTAGCAAGTCTCGCCTCAAACTGAAGGGATTCCGTTCACTTCATGCTAATGGAGCATATTGTTCAAGGAGGGGGACATTAAATTTCTGCTTTAGGTAGGCACACTCAAGGCTTTAGCACAATTAGTACTTTAGATCATAACTTTTAAAAGGAATGTAAAATGACAATTTCAGTTGAAGTCCTGTATATACAATGCACTCAAAGTATTCAGACCCTTCACTTTTTTCACTTTTGTTATGTTACAACCTGATACAATCGTTCAAGTTCATTTTTTTTCTTGTAAATCTACTCTCAGTACCCCATAATGACAAAGCGAAAACAGAATTTTAGAAATGTCTGTAAATTTATTAA